AGTAGAGTGGAACGATTACGTACGCGTGCGAAAGAGATACGTATATATATCTGATGCATGTCGAAACGAGACGGGAGATGAAAAAGAAATACGAATATATCGATTCATTGTGCATAGATGCGTAGGTACATGCATGTATGCGTGCATACGCGAAATACACGAGCGAGCAGGATATCGAGGGGTATGTATAGAATACAAGGGGATTTGGAATTGGCGTGAATTGGCAAATGCTGCTTAACCGTCTTACCTTCTTGGTCATAGTCTACTTCGTGAGTCACACTGAACACACTGTGTGCATCATTGAGAAATCTGGTCGTTTGATCCATAACCATTTTGTGCGTATCCAAGACTTCCTCCTCAAGCATTTGCAACGCGGATACAGCCTCGTGAAACGTGTAAAGATCTTGGGATATTTCGCTCTCCTGGTAAAAATTGAGTATCTTATCGATCTTATCGACCGAGATCGCGCGATAAATGAACAAACGTTTACAGAGAAGGTTTACGGTTTCAAATATTTACGTTAAGGGATCGTAGTTGAGCCAAGTCGCTGTCAGACAGCACGTTGTTCGACTGTGCCTCGATTTTTAATTCCCGTTCGTCGTCCGTCGAGGAAATTTTCACTTCGGTCGGATCGGTGGCGGCCAACTCCTTCACTCGATCCGCGTATCTAAGTGTGTTCAACGAATGCTCGCAGGAACTCATTCCCGGGCTGATCATGGCGATCTACGACGAATGAAATTTTTCACTCGATTGTTCGAAATTTCACGAATATTACATTTCTGATTTCTCTTACCATGCAAGTTTTCGATTTTTCACCGATGAAGCTGTCCCTTAACACTTGCGTCAACTTGCTAGCCCTGAACGGTAAATGCGTTCCTTTGCGGCCCAACGCTCGAATGCATTCTTTTAAAGCCAACAGTGACTTGTTGATCTCTGCACCTTCCATTCCTGGAAACGAGGATTCACCGTAGTCACAGGCTTTTATACGTACGTCAAGGTAACGTAAGGTCAACCACTTACGAGTTTGTCTGTTGGCGGATGACGTGTCGGCTCCCCTCTCGTTTCCGGCAAGATCGATCAACGAGAATTTTCCATGAACTTTATGGGTGGCCGGCGTACGGGCTATGATTTGAAACACGGCGTGCGACCGGGACGAGTTGGAATTGGCGCTTGTCTGCCCGCTGGTCCTCGCGCTGTTCCCGTGCTGTATCAATTTCAATACTTCCTCGCACGATTCCACCACCTTCTCCGTCAATCCGACAATCTGCACCTGAAACGAGAGTGGAGGTTATACATCTATATCTATATCTATATCTATATCTATATCTATATATATATATATATAATATAAGAAAGAAGAGGAAGGAATGAGAAATAGATAGAAACAGAAATGAGAAGAAGAGGCTTACCTGTTGTTTCCCATCCTCCAAAACGCGAAGTTTTTCCTTGTCCGCCAATAAGTCGAACACTTTGCCCGAATAAATCTCGAAGAAACTCGCGGAAATGATGAGATTGAGGGAGCGATATTTGGACAATTTGAGGCATTTGAACACGTCGTTGGCGACCATCGCGTATATACCTTTCTTGCAATCCTGAGTTTTCCCGTTGAAATCACCGCCCATCGTATGGGTCTTCCCGCTTCCCGTTTGACCGTACGCGAAGCAGGTGGCCATCCCGCCCTCGAAGATGGTCTGGACCAGAGGCTTCGCCGTGTACTTGTACACGATCTCGTTGTTGCACGTCTCGTCGAACGCGTAGTCGAAACGGAAAATTTGATTCTCCAAATATTTGGTGAGATCGACTTTGGCCTTCGGCTCGTGTACCACCATCTGATCCTTGCTGGGCACGCTGATCACGTCCACCTCTTTCCGCGCTATCTCCTTCTTGTTCAGGGGGCGCTTCCTCACGCACACGGTGATTTGATGATCCTCCACCACGTCCGACTCCCGTAGCGGCCTGAACTCGATGCTGTTCTGATACTCCCTGCGTGAAACGGAAAACGGCG